TGCCTTGTGAGTGATACCGCCGCCGCCCACGCTGCCCGGCCCGAAGGAAAGGACGGGAAAGCTGCAGCGGAGCGCCGGGGCGGGAGGTGTGCTCTCTGAGCACTGGGAACAGGGCGAGGTTGGAGCGGTCCTGTCGTCGCAGCCCGTGTGGGGCCTGATGTGGCGACAGAGCCCGGCCGGGCGCGGCGCGGGATCGCAGCGCCTCTCCCGGCCCCGGCTGCCTCAGCCCTCTCCCAGCGCTTCGGCGAGCCCAGAGGCTGTGACCTGCTCTGGCCACCTCAATTCGAAAGGACATTGAGGGGCTGGAACGAGTCCAGAGGAGCGAATGGGGCTGGGGAAGATTCTGAAACACCAGGAGAGGCTGAGGGAGCTGGGGGGCTCTGACTGGAGAAAAGCAGGGGCCATTATCACTCTATGCAACTCCCTTAGAGGAGGTTGTGGCCAGGTTGGTCTCTTTTTCCAGTCAACAAGTAACAGGACAAGAGGACATAGTCTTGAGCTGACAGGGGATGTTTAGGATGGACTTCAGGAAGAATTTCCTCACAGAGAGGATGATCAGAATTGGAATGAGATGCTCAGGCAGGATGAGACCATCCCCAGAGGTCTCTGAGGAAAGACGACATGGCACTCACTGCATGGCCTGGTTGGCACCATGGTGTTTGGTCATAGACTGGACTCAATGACCCCAGAGGTCTTTTCCAACCTAATCCATTCTGTGATTCTGTGAAGTGGAGCCACCAGGTTCCCAGCACAGCAAGGGGCAACTTCACTGACATAGCTTGTTCCTTCTCCACAGGAAACTGGGTTTGGCTACATTAACTATTATAATTTTTCCAATACACCATAGAAATGTTTTTCCACTTGCATTTCTATAGCTGAGAATATAGCTATTTCTATATCTCTCTTCCTGAGGCCTTCATCATGCTGATGAGTTGAAAGTTGAAGTCTGCAGGCAAAGCTTAGAAAACTCTCTTTCCTCTCTTCACATTTGTGTTACCACCCTGAATAAAGTATTTGCATTTTGGAGCCTATTGTTGCTTTTACGGTGGAAAGCTCTAAAAGGCATCGAGGGCCAGTTAGGCAGACAGAGGCAAGTCATGCAAAAAAGTGGCAGTCCCTGCACAGACGGTTTTGCAGATTGTCTCTGGATTCTGTGGATTAATTTGTAAACACAACATCTCAACACCTAGTACTGGATAGAAAGGATCACGAACCAGTCAATCTTCCTTACCCCACATATGAAATTCTTCACAAGTTTGCTACATTGTACTCCTTCCCTTTGGTATCTGAGCCTTTAGAGTGAACTCAAGTCACATTTTTTAAGCTTTCCCTGTACAGCCACAAAGTCTAAATTACTTTTTTTTTTTTTCCTCCTGAAGCTTCTAATGTAATCCCATGACTCTGGAAACTGGAACTTTGAGGAAAAAGCCAAATATGATGAGGCACATTCAAATCACGAGTTCTGCCAAATACTGCTCAGCACAGATTTAACAATGAATATCTGAATAACTGAGGTCTGACTTTTCAATGTAGGAGGAGTAGCAAAAAGACTCCAAAATAAATTGTTATGAATTAACCTCTACATAGGTAAATAGTTTTATTTATAAGCTTTTATCCAGATTTTCAGTGGATGAAGCTCCCAGGGCTTTCAGTGGCTAAGTAGCTCCCAGGGCAGCATGTTCAAAATAACCTGCTTCAGCAAAACCAAAACAAGGCTGTAAAAAAAAAAGTATATTCATGTAGATCCTATAACATGGAATAACATTTTCTCAGTCTGGGATGCCTTGGAATGTGTGTTTTTCTTTTGCAACTAAGTTCTGTTTTGTCCTTAAAAGGTTAAAACCAAAAAAAAAAAAAGAAGATTTGTACCATGCTATAATTCTGCTTCATTGTGAAAGCAAAGAACCTACCACACAATCCTGAATTGAGAATAAATATGGAT